TGGCTATTTGGGATTCACTATGCTTCACTTATCTATATGTTTATCTTTTCTTATATTTTGAAGGTTTTCTGCCACTATTCCTGTGAATAGCTTTCTAATGCCACTTATGTTCTCTTCTGAATTTTCACATATCTTAATTACTCCTTCATTAGTGTTCTTTGGATTCTCTAGCAGCAGTTGGTTGGATCTATTTTTCATATTCTCTTGTTGCTTTGAAGATGTCTTTGAGTAACTGACCTTGGAAAATATTTTCTTGCTTTGAAATTCTATCCTCAAATTGGTAACTTTTTCTGCCCACACTTGCAATGCAATATTTGATCACCTGAATTGCTGACTGAAACCTTTTCACAGACTCTAATCCTTTGCTAAATTGACCATTTATGAGTTGCACAATTTTGGTTAGTTCAAGATTTTTATTATTGTCTTCTGCATCACTTGGTTATTACTTTCCATTATTTTTTAGGATGCCACTGAGTATCTCTCTGACACTAAGTTGCTAAAATTCTAACATCACTTTCTAAGACATACATGTTGTGTTTTTAAACATTGACCAGGATGGAAGCGATTAACAAAATTGGCATTGATTTTTAGTTTTTTGTTCTGGTCATAAGATGCATTCTGGTCATAAGTTCTTAACTTATGACCAGAATGCATCTTATCTGCTTTGTAGGACCATTTTTAGTAACATGGCCTGTGACTCTTCTATAGAGGCAGAGTAGTTCCTTTTTGGATTACTGGAAAGTATTGGAATGGGTAGAAAAAACAGAGTGATAAGTAGAAGAATTAAGAGGTAGTTATTATCATTATTATTTTGTGGTACTGGAGTTTGAACCGAGAATCTTCACACCTTCTTTCATTTTTCTGACAAAGGCTAAGTTGCAAAGTTGTCCAGGCTGGCCTAAAACTTGTGATCCTGCCTCAGCCTCCTAGAGTACTAGGATTATAGACATATGTCAACGCGTCCCACTGAAATGTAGTTCAAAGAAGATTTGGGGTTTTTTTTGTTGGCTTATTTGTTTTAGTTACAAAAACAAAAAACTGGGGGGGGGTACTTAGACTTCATTGGACAGTATGTACTATTGACAATTTTAAAATTCTACTGACGATGGAACTACAACAGCAGCAAGACAATTCAATCAGGTTAAAAGGGTCCTTCAGAAAGATCTTCATACCAGACAGTGGAACGGACCAAGCTAAGAGCTAATTTGGGGTTCAGGGGATGGTTGTGGCTTTCCAGAGAATGCTGAATCGCCTATCTGGGTGCCACTGTATTATGGATCAGACCCAGAGAGGGAATTGATTCCATCTCTGCAATAAGTAGATCCTCAGTTCTGTGACAGTGATGCCTCAGAGGCTGCTCTACAACTGATAGACAAGTTAGGTAAAAGATTTTATGTATTAGGTAGGATGATTGAACTAAAAGGGGTATTTTATGTCAAAAGGAAAATTTAAATATGTTACAAAGTGTCATGATTGTTAAACTGTAATGTCATGTATGGTTTTGATTTCTATGGTTTTTCTGTGTAAAATATGCAAGTGTTAACATTCCATTGGTATTCAAATGTTAAAACATCCTTGGTTGTTAAAAAATAATGGTTCTGTTTTATGTTCTGAGGTGCTTGCTATTTCCCTTAGATGAAAATGCCAAGCTTACTGCCTCTACTACACTGTACTATTGTCAATCTTTTCTTCTGGATGTTCAACAACTGAGGTTTAGAGACCAAAAATCAGAGAGATAGGGGGACTAAGAGGATAGTCACTATTGTGGCCCTAGCCTTCCAAGGTCAATGAGGACCTAAGACTTAAGAAAGCCTATGCTGCATCAGTGTATACTCAGCGAGTCCCTGATCTTCTGACCAAGAAGATCAAGACCACAGAGGAAAGTGATCATTGGTGTAGTGTGTGCCTAAGGAGAGTCACCAGGAGAAAAGGCCTCCCAGGCTTTCATAGAAAGCAACTTGGCCAAGCCATGGCTGTGACTCATCCAAACAGGTGACACTGACAAGGGGAGCTAAGAGGTGCTATACATTATTCCAAGGCATTTCCCGAGGAAACTTAACTGACCTTGGTAGATAACGGAAACTGACTGTAATTAATGCATGTCCCACCTTAACTTGATCTTTAACATCCTTCAGAAAAGTATAATTACTAGAGGTATATAAAACAATGTTATAGTAATATATTAGTCATAAAAGAAATTCAAATCCCTAATACCTTCTGATAATTGCACGCTACACTGTTACAGATTAACGGACTGTAATGGGTTAAATTACTGAATGCAGGAATTTAAAATCCTTGGACTGCACTTAAAACAAAAAGGGGTCAAGAACGAAAAGGCATTCTGCAGAGTTCTTCAAACACAGCCCCTCCAGCTTCAACTGATCACTCATCCTATGCTACAACAAAACAAAATAGAGGGATAGGTAGGGAGTTTTGAAGATGGAGATTGATCACATGTGTGAGGATAATGCAAGGCCAGCTCTGAAAACACAGACACCCCCAAACAAGCCTCAAAAACAAGCTGTTTAACCTCCAAGAAGGCAAAGGGTCCCGGCAAGCCAGGCAAACAAAGTGCTAGGCAGCGAGGTTGAAACTGACATCCTTCTCTTTAGTATATAAATAAATGTGCTCCAGTGATTAAGCAGTCCCTTCTCTCCCATCAGGACAGAGGGCTCCAGCTGATCTCAGCTTTCACCTCTGTTCTTTATTTTCTCATCCTCACATGGTCCTTCCCCCTGGAAACACCTAGAGCTGCAGCCAGTCACTACCATTTGGGTGTTGGGTGTTTTGTCCCAACAATGAGAAAAGGCAGAATTTGGTACCTGAATTGGAGTGGGGTTGTTGCTGTTACTGACCTGACTACATGGGTTCAGTAGCCTCTGCAACTGGCTTATGGCAAGAGTTTCAAAGGATTCAGAGATGCCAGTAGAAAGAGCAGTCTTGGAATGCCTTAAACTGTACGTGATAGGAGACTCTAGTCAGAGGACAGAAGACCAGAATGCTGATAAAAAAGCTGCCATTAAAGAACAGGCCCAGGAGGCTTCTGCTAGACAAGATGGCTTTTGCTGTTGGATTCCAGAACAGCTGTTCTACCATGGCAGAGAGTTTGTCTGCATTTTGCTCTCATCCAGGAAATTGGCCTATGACTGAGAATAAAGGCAGCAAACTAATGAATTTAGCAGCCCATGCTGAGGCCGTGGCATACCTACTATTGAGGGATATTAACTAGGTTTCTGTGCAGAATCAAGAGCAAAGAGCCTAACAGAATGATTTAAAATGTTTGGAGTTTGGCTGGAAAGGAACCTCCAGTAGATTTATAGCCTGTAAAGACGGAATAGGAAACACTGGTCCCTGAAAAGACTACCATGAAAAAGCCAAGTATTTCAGAACAACAGAATACATGGCTAGAGGACATCACAAGAAGTATTAGACTGTACCTTTTACAGAGTCATAATTTCAAAAGTCAAAGACTTTGCTAGGAGAAGTAAGTTCCAAAGAACCAAGTTGCAGAATGGTGGCAGACTAAGGAAGTTGTTTGTTGGGATTTGACTCATAGGTGGTTATCTCTATAGCCAAGAGAAAAGGAAGCCTGGCTAGTAGACAGCAGATCTTAGCAGCAACCATGTGGTATTGGCTTTAGATGTGTGCAAAATACAATGTCTATGGGGCTAGGACAGCTTTCCAGATTTTAGAAGGCCTGAGAAGTCAGGCAGTATGCCCCTGAGAGGGCATTTATGAAACTTTGAATGTGAAACCAAAGGTGAATTGGAGACTCCAGAAGTTTGTAAAAGCCAGGAATGTGGACCCATTAAGGAAAACTGCAAAGAAGGAGCACAGCCCACCCAAAGCTAATGCCTGGGAGCTACAACGACCAACAGTACAGTAAGGGTGAATCACCAAAGCCCTTTGAAGTTCACATCTTGCCACAGATTGCATTGCATGTTGGACATGAGCTACAGGAATTATATTTGCCATGCTGGAATTTGGATTTGCTCTTGTTCCTTTCAATTCCCCTCTTTGTACCTTTTGGACTGGAAATTTGCTTACTTTTATTCTCTCCTGCCTGCCACCCTGCCTTGGGGCCAGCTGATTATGAATGGAAACCTCTACAAAAAGTGAGCTGAAATAAATCTTTCCTTCTTTAACTTTGAATGTTGGGTATTTTGTCTTAGCAACAAAAAAAAAGACACTAAGATATGCAATTTCAATAGTAAAGGCCTAAATCAATGTTGACAAAACACAAGTTACCTGAACTGATGTCCAAAGTGAAAAACAAAATGAGACTACTGGAGGAGGATTAGATTTGTTTAAAGTCAACCTTAACAGGACTAGGGAATGAGATGGCTTGGGAATAAATGAGGAGAGGCACCTTCCAGGGAAACAATCTAGTAGTATTTATTTATTTAAAGACATGGACATGCTCCTGTGTTATTTTGTCATACTTGAGAGCCAGCTGAGTTTGAATAATGAAGATGCAGATGTTTCGCCTTCCTCACTGGTGAGCTGTCTGAAGAGGGAGCCAGGCTGCGCGGGGTCACCTGCTCTGCAGAGTGCAAGGGGGCCAACCTGCCACAGGATGTAGAGGAAGTGCCTTACAGTCCACCTGAAGCCTCTGCCTGCTCCCCTTCCCTTGCCCTGCACTGCAGTCCATGCCCCTCCAGTTGGAAGCCACACAGCACACACAGCAGGGCTGAGACAGCTGGATGGCCCTACTAAGAGGACTTTGCTCTTTCAAGGTTGAAAAGGATGTGGGGGACAGCCACGGGGTTTTAGTATCTGACAGAACTTGAATCTGGAGAAAGAAAACCAATCCAGGAAGAGAGTAACCCTATGTACCTGCTTTCCACAGTCTGTTCCTCTAATAGGGATAGAATTTAAAGGCCAGTAGCAGGATGTGGAAACTAGCACTACGGGGAAAAGTTACAACACAGGCCGTGCTTAAGGAGAGTGGATTTTTGGCAAAGTCCTTTTAATCTTTTTTTCTTAAACTGTCCCCCCAATTTAAAGCCAGATGTTTGAGAAGAATTTGTGACCTTAATACGTTTGATGACAGGCAGTACAAAAGGACATGTCGCAAATATTTTGTACAACAAGAAAAGAAACAACAACTGAACTCCACAAGACAAGCTGAGCTCCCAAACACCCATGTACACAGCAGAATTCAGAAATACCCAGGATGACTCTTCAGGCTTAATGGATGGCATCCTACTGAAACGAAATGTGTAGTAAGAGGAAAATGGAGATATGGAGAAAGCAAACTCATTTACTTGCCACCCAACTAGAGCTATGGAAAATGAAGCCACCAGGACAAAAGGATTTTCTACAAATTACTATCATAAATACGTTGGGTGAGCAGTTACTCCTATTACTCTACTGAAGAAACCATCTTCATCCTGTTTGCACATTTTCTACAGCCTTGCACCTGGGATATGTTTCTATTATAAGTCCCTTTGGCAGTGGCAACAGGCATTTGTTAAATATTCTATTGGCTCAAACTAGTAAAACCTTGTATTTCTCTATTGCGCCGCTATTAAGACAGCATCTGTGCATTCTGTCCCTCGCTTCTTTCTCACAGTTATTTCACGGGGAATTGACCGGGTTGGGTGGAATGGGATCAGCAGGGAAGAACTTTCTGGGCACTAACCTGGGCTTCTGTTTCGACGCCTGTGGTGCTTGACTTAGCCTTCCGTGTGCTCGTCATGCTCAGTGGAAGCAGGCCAAACCTCCAAGAGGAGAGGAAGAATTTCAGGGGCAGGAAGGAGCAACCTTGGGGCCCAGTGAGAGTTCTCAGGCTCTGGCTCACCTGATCTGACTCGAGGCCAATGGCAGTATGTTGTGGGCTTCCTGGGAGTTCAGTGAACTGCTCCGAGGGGTGACCTGGTTCTCTGTACCAGTAACCAATCCAAACAGGACCTGATGTACACGAGTGAGCAGAGCATAATACAGGATTTTACTGTTCAGATCAGAGAATCATTTCTCCGTTACTAAGCACCACCAATTAATTTCTAACCGTCACTTTCGGAGCTGTTCTTTTGAGTGTGTGAATATTTCAAAATTACTTTCTTTCATGGAATCTCATGGCCATGTTGTTCTCATTCTGAGGTTTGTATCACGGTTTATTAATCCTTAACTATAACTTAAGAGGTTAGATCACTGCCACCCCAGTGCATGTGATTTTCTCTCATCCTCTTTCAGCCTTTGCACCTCTACTCAGCTGCCTGCGTGTCACCCTCTGCCAACACTGCCTCCCTGAGTACTAACTGCTGAGCAGGTCTGTTGTGTAATGTGGGGCTGTGGCATTTAGTTCATGCTGAGGGTATTTTGAGGCAACTTACGGAAGTGCGCTGCACCAGGAGATGGAGGTTGCTGTTGAGGTACGGTGTGAACACATCCAGGTCAAAGGGGTCGATGAGAGCTTCCAAGTGCTCAGTCACTTTCTCAGTTCTTAGAAAAGTTGTACCATCGTTATTTTCCAGGGTTTTTAAGGATGAAAAAACAATTTTACAATATTTTCTATTTACAGAAATTCTGAAGTAGATTTGATATCTAAGTCAAAAGCATTCTTTCCTGCTGTTTCTAGGGGAAGCACTAAGATCTCAAATTATACCCAGCAGTCACAAGCTGGACCTCCAGAGGAATGAAGTTCTGCCTACTTTGCTTGACATGAAATGCACCCAGCACTACACTTCTGAGGGCGTCAGGTCCCAGCAAACCACTGTAAATTGAAAGCACTGTAAACTGGAACTGACCACCACAGCCAAGCATCAGCACCTGCTCAGAGGGTACGTGGTTTCTCTTTGTGCCTATAGGGCTGCCCTGGAGCCGTGGCCTCCGGATGCTGACCACATTTTGAGAGAGGATCATAATGCATAGTGCGAGCCCAGGAAAAGCCCCAACTGCCAAATGTGAATGATAATTCTCCTGAATGCTTGCTGTTTTCCCTCCATACTACTGTGAAAAAAAAACTGAGAACAGCCCCCATGAGCAGGGAGCATCTCTGTGCACTGGGAAGAGACCTTGGTGGACAGCCCAGCAGAGAGGCAGCACCTGCAGTCCAGCGTGCCGTGACCACTCTTCATCTCTTGCTTGCTACTGAGGACACTGCGGAGGTAGCACAGGTCATAGAGGGGCTGCAGCACCCAATTCTGTGTCAGTGGAAATGCACCTTCCTTCTGCAAGTGAGTCCCCAGCCCAGGGACACATGGCTCATTACGTGGCACAGTGACTAACTGCGTGTTCCGACTGGGCTACAACTTGGTGTTTCCCAGGCAGGGTTAATCTCACAACCACAGTGTGCACTAGCAGCTGGGTCGGAAGGCTAAAAACCTAAGAGCAGAGCATTCAGGGAGACCCCGCCCTTAATCAAACAGGCCTCACGGCTGCTGTAGGTGTCATTTCTGCAAACCAGGGCCTCGTGTGTGAAGGAGGCATATGGTGAGGAACCCTAGCAGAGCAGAACTCACTGACTTTGTTCCTCCGTCAGGACTGCTCCTGTCTTTCACATGTGTCTAATGCAGTGGGAAGCAGAGGCTGGGGGACACAGACTTCCCCCTACTCCTGTCTGTGCCACAGCTGTGCTGAGCAGCTGCCCTCCTAACGGGCACCCCTGCTGATGATGAGTGCGGAGATCTCCATGTTAGCTGGGAGGAACCAGCTGAAGACTTCATCTACTGGGCACATAGAAGGAAATGTAAGGTTAATCATTTGCCCAAAGTCTGCAGTGAGCAGGTGGCAGCGCCACCTGTGAGCCGGGCCTCCTTTTTCTGAAAGCCACCATCTGACTGACTTGTCCTGAACCTCCTCCTTCAGGGAGACTAGTATGCCCCAAGAGAATGGGTGTGAGCCACAGAGCTGCAGGAGCCTTTACAGGACCGGATGCCTAGGCTGTGTGACATTTAACACTCCGGACCTTTGACGTGAACTGGCAACAACCAAGAAAAAGAAAAGCCTTTGTTTATTACTAATGGGGCATCAATCAAACACCCACCTTTTGCTTTCCTTCTGAAAGTTTCTCATAGGCAGTGATTACTTGAACCATGCAGTTTTTCAGCATCTCCTGGAGTGTCACTTTTGGCAGGGTGTGGCCTCCAACCCGATTCATTTCCTGGCATAAGCTAAACAGGAAGGACTGTACATACCAGGATGGCTACAAAAACAAAGGAATGTCATGTTGCCAACTTACACCCATTAAATGACACATAGCAAAAGTGGGCCCATTTATCCTTTCAAGGCACATATGCCAGGACCTCGAGCTCCCTGCTCAAGCATCTCCCAGATACAAAGTCTCTGTGAAGTCTTCGCTTTTGTGGTCTGAGGTCCACTAGGCAGACGGCATTGTAATGCTGCTGTCTCACTTCAGGGTAAGTGGCTGTCTCAGCACAAGGCCCATGCTACCAAGAAAAGTATCATCAGTCCGCTTCTAAAGCGGCCTTTGATCTAGGTGTTCTCACATCCTCATGCCCCCACAGTCCTGTGGTACATCTCTCAGCAACTACTCCTCCGAAGCTGCATGTTGAATGACTCTCTGAGATTGTTTTGCGTCCCCAATAGGAGGTCTTTCCCTTCAGCTCAGGTCCCTGTGACGGCAGGATGTGCTCACCTGTGAAGGGAGTCGGATCTTGGATGTGATGCTGCTGCCAGACTCAGTCTCCTCCTGGATTTCCAGTTCCAGTTTGTGGCTGTGGCTAGGATGGAGCCAGCGTCATCTAAAAGTAATGACTGGGTAAACCTATGAACCAGAACCTGGTGATCAAAGTAAAATATCCATGTAAGTCCTACAGACTGTAGCATTTGTTACCTGGAACAATCTTCAAACCACATTAAGCTGCTGAGGTTGTAAGTGGGATGATGAGGGGTCACCACTACCCTCCTTTTCCTAATTACCACTACCAATAAAGGGAATGCAGATGCTATGCACCTTACTCACATCAAACACTACCATACACTGTAACAGCTTACTTATCTTGTGAGGAGGCAGCTAGAACAGCCTAAGATAAAGTCACATAAAAATAAAAAATAACACACATCCATTTACAGCTAATTCAAGCAGCTAGATAAGCTTTAAAATATTAAAGACAGAAAGACACAAGATTAAAATAAAATTACAGACAAGGACTTTTCCTCCCCACAAAAGCTCATACAGAGTAGGCCAAGGTGACAGTTCCTCCGTTTCTCCAGTCTATACCTCAAAGACCCACTGCTTTAAACTCATTTTCTTTGAAAAAAGCTTTTTTCACATTCTGCTTATTCATGTAAAAACAGGACAAAAAAGAAAAGAAAAGAAAAGAAACCTTAAGTGATTTGGATTTCCATTCAAAATCTCTTTCTGGGAACAGAAATATTTCTCTTATTTCCAATAAATTATTTCCTAATTCTTCCTTTTGTCTATGATTTCATTCTTTGAGTTCATGAGATTATGAGCTGTTTATATAAAATTAACTGTCTCAATATATAAGCAGTAGACAGTGAAGGATTGAGATATTTACACTAAGGGCAAGACAGACAGACTGGGGCTGGGGATTTAGCTCAGCAGCAAAAGTGCCTTCGTTGCAAGTGTGTGGTCGTGAGTTCGATTCCTGGTACCGATAAAAACAAAAAAGACAAAAAAAAAGACAGACAGACCTCTGCCCAGGCAAAAATGTTTCTTTAGTTCTTTTTCGTGTGTGTGTGTGTGTGTGTGTGATTGTTATGGTATTGGGGATTTAACCTCACACCTTTGCACTGAACTCTATCTCCCAATGATTTATTAATTATTACTTTGTTTACTTTGAAATAGTCTTAATATGGCCTGAAGTTGCCCAGGCTGGGCTTAAAAATGTGATCCTTCTGCCTCAGCCTCTCAGATTACTAGGATCATAGGCGAGTACCATATTTTATGGATCTTTCATTTCCCCTGATAGAAGGAAAAAAAGAAGGCTTTCTGTCCATAAAATCTAAGTTAAAAACAAGTAGAAAAGGTTTACACTGGAATCACCTTGGAGAGGCAAGTTGCACACAACTGTGAAATAAGCTGTTACTCTCTTACAACCTAAGGAACTAAGGTTAGCAAGACCTGAGTGAGACAAACGGAGGCAAACAAAAGATCCTAAGAATCTCCTCTCATCACTGTCACAACTGCTGAGCTCCAGACCTGGTGGCCCATCACACTGTGCTGGAGAAGTAATTCTTTCACCTCCTGCCACTGGGCCTGCCCGGGAGTGAGATCCTGAGCTTTCCCCTTTGCCTGCTTTTTCGGAGCCCTTGTCTCCCTTTCTGGCTTCTCAGCACTTCTAGACCTTCCCACAATGCACAGCTTCAGGTGGGGGCACAGTTCTCCCAGGGACTGGCAGAGTTGGCCATGAAGAGGACCGTGCAGCTTGGTGCTGAGGAGGACATCCTCCTGGGCTTGTACAACAACTTCGATGCTCTGCAGCTCCGCCTGGATGCAACCCAGGATGTATTTGACACACCCCACAGAGTGAGTCCGCAGCATGGCTTGCACAGTCCCAGCATCTGCGTATCGGTCAAAGGCAGAGTTTTTGGCCTGCAGCATGGGGGGCAGTATCCTTGGGCAGGGCCGAGTCATCAGAGGGAAGGTAAGTCAGGAGGTCATCCAGTTTAACCTTTAGCTTGGAATGCAAGGCAGTACAGAAATTCTGGACATGAGGACTAATAGCCTGGGCTTTCATGGAGAGGCCACTATTGGCTAACTGGGGTCGGTTTGCCACACTGACCCAGGAGGCATCAGAAGGCAGGTCAGTGGGACTCTCATGCCAGAGGAAGAGAGACATGTTTTGCTCAAAGAGAATGTGCTTGTTTGGTGTAGAACTGCCGGTGCTGTTCTCAAGTTCCTGCAGAGCTGAGACCAGCAGCTCTTTGGAGCTACTGATGGACTCAAAGCCTTCCTTTGTCAGAGTCTGAAAGAGAATGAGAGGACAGTTCTAACCCTTGTTCTTTAATGAAATTTCAAAACAACAGGAACAAGTAGCAAGTGACCTTAGCATTCAGAATGTTCCCAGGACATTCAGAAAATCTTTGTGGTGTGGCACGAATCAAAAGATACCACCCTGATAGACACGGGCTTGTTCCAGGCCACCTAAGTGAGGTCTGGTATGCTGCTCAGGTCTAGTTTCTCCAAGTGGTAGTGAGTAGGGACAGAATAGACCCAGGAAGTGACAGGAGGCTCTCAGGATAGACACAAGTTCACACTGGGTCGGCTGTGAAACAGGGGGCCTAGGGGGTTTCCCGCCTCACCTATAGGCGGTCCAGGAACAGCTGCTGCATCATGTCCTCCCAGAACAGCAGTGGCTTCTCCAGAAGCCGCCAGCACACCACCTCCCAGCTGTGTCTGGCGGGCTCACTTGTAACTGCCACATGGCATCCCAAATCCCAGCGAGACCTTTCATGCTCTTCACATACAGAAGCAGGTTAGTGATCCCGTTCTTAATATCTTCAGTACACCTGAACAACATTTCCCATGAGCTTCATTATGCTTGTGGTTTCCATACCATTATTAAGAAAAATGACAATAACTTGTTCCCAAACTTTTTTTTTTTTTTTGAGGCAGTGAAGGGTCTGGGAATCGGAACCCAGGACCTCTGCAGTCAGATAGATACCGAGCCTCTTTTAAAATTTTATTTACTGGGAATAAGGTCTAGCTATATCACCAAGTTACTCAGGCTGGGTTCAAATTTGAATCCCCCAGCCTCAGCCTTCCAGAAACCATTCCCCCCTACTTGAAAATCTCTTACCTAGAGACAGAGACACAGACACATATAAATTCAGAGCACTTAGGTGCCAATGTTTCTGAATGGTTCTGGCACAGAGTCCTCAGCCCTCTTCATTCTTACTTTCTTGAAGACATGAGAGACTCTCAAGATCCATGGAATTGTTTCAAATACAAAAGCATTAAATAAAATTTTAGGAATTGGAAAACTCTTACTTAAAGAGAATTTAAGGGCCCCTACGTAATATTGTCAAAGACAGTTTTCTTCCTTGGTTCTCCCCCAGGGGAACGCAGGGGCACTTCAGCCAAGTGGTTGGGATTCTCTGCACAGACCTCACTGACCCGTGTACGGCCACATCGCAGGCTGCACGGGGGCCAGGCCCGCCTCAGAGGTATGTGCTACTCACATGGCGATCCACTTCTGCAGCGTGTCTCTCAGGTATTCCTGGCTGATGGGATGTGCCAGGGTTCAGAGCACTGGCTGGAGCTCGACGACAGATGACGGCAGGTGTCTGAGCCAGCTGCCCAGCTTCATCTCCCCTTGCAGGACACTAATCCCTTTGCCTACAGAAAAATCTCAGTGAGAGGTAGCCCAGGCCATACCTGGAAATACATTATTAAAAATGGACCTCAGAGGAATTTCCAAAAATTCAATTTTCACTGGTGAGTCAAAATAGAACCCTACAACATAGGGAAAAATAAAGTACAGCATATGTCCAGTCCCTCCTCAACAGGGATCAGAATTCCTGTAACTGTGGTCATCTCTGGGATGAAGACGTACAGGTAAAAGAGTAGAAGGAAGACATAGTGCTGTGCACACCCTAACATTGTTTTTCTTTCCTTAAAGTAGGATCTTGCTGTGTTGGCCAATGTGTCCTCTAACCCTGGGCATCAGTGATCCTCTGGCTTCAGCCTCTTGCAGACCTGGGACTACAGTAACACATCCCCTGGCAATCTCTGACATTTTAACACCATATTCCTATCACCCTTGAGGAACTATGCGGTGCAGCTTAGAGGTGATGCACCCTGTACTCTGTGTGCAAAGTCCTGGGAGTTTAAAACCCCGGGCCCTTCTGAAGTGACTCGTAACTCTGTTTGCCAGTGCACTAGAGATTAGCTATCCTCATCCTCTGTGAAGGGCGTAAAGTAGCAAATGTAAGCACTGGGAGAGAAACCAAAATACAAGGGAACAGTGTCTGAGCAGAAAGGTCAAGTCACTCAAAGATGAGGTTGTATGATATTGTATCTCTTTTTGGAAATGGCCACTTGGTCACAGCCACACTCACTTGTTGGTTTTTGGTCTTTGTGTGTATTTCTGCTGTTTTGGAGACACTCCCACGTGCCTTTGTACTCCTGGAGTTCTAAGGCACTGCTTGCTCTCTCAACATTTTTTTCTTAAATAACTTCCATATGTATCAAATAACTCCCATATGCAGATGCACTGCAGGTGTGTCTCTGAGAGTCATTTTCTCAACCCCAGTACCATTCCAACGTATCAATCCTCTCTAGTGTGTGAACTCACCACCAGACTCTTCAAATCAGCTCCTTTTCTAGTTAACTTGGACACTTCCCTTTCCAAACCAACCCAGCATCAAATCCTTTCCTCGAGATGCCAGGTAAGGTGGCACAGGCCTGTAATCCCAGCACTGAGTAGGATAAGGCAAGGGGTCACTATGAGTTTGAAGCCAGCCTGGGCCACATAGTGAGTTCAAGGCCAGTGTGAACTACATAGTGAAACCCTGTCTCAAAAAAATCCTTTCTTCAACAGACATGAAGATTGTCCAGTGAGCTCCATTTCTACAGCTCCCTTGTAACTTACAATCTGACCCCATGATCACAATGACAGCCTCCTAAGTGAGCCCTCAGCATCCCTCTACCCTGTGGGATCCCACTAACACTTAAGAGCCAGTTGTAGTTATTTAATTACAGTTGAAATACAGGCTACCCAACTGAAGGGAATACATGAGAACACACAGGAGCTACACAATCTAGGAAGGTCCCAGAAGGTATCCATTGGTCCTTGGATAAAGTCCACACTCCCAAGGCTTGCCCACAAGACCTGCCTTTAATTGGCTCTTGGCAACATCTTATCTCCTCTCTTGCTCTTTTAAATCTCATTCAGGAAACCTCACCCTCACTGGCCTTCTTCACTTCCTCCATGACACTACCATCTTCCTTGCTTTACAGTTCTATATACTCTTCTCCCTTTGCTTGGAACTCTCTTCCTTGATAAATTATACTCTACCTTTAGCCTTCAGTTTAACGATCACTTCATCATATAGTCCTCTCTGGCCCTAGCAAGTTCCAGTCAGTGTTCCCAAGGCAACTTGTATTCTGCATTTATAGCAATGACTAATAGTGACATTAAACAGTTGTTTGCATATTAATGAGCTTAATATCTGCCTCTACCACTAGACCATGACCTCCATGTTTCTCTAGTTTCCTGGCCCAGTGGCTGGAACAAGTTAGACTCTGGGTAAGGATCTATTGGATGAGCCAGAAAACTGTTGGTTAAGAGCTCACCGGTGGGATGCTGGCCTGTGATGGTCTCCAGAGTAGAGAAGAGCAGCCCACATGGCAGGCATGGATCTGGCAGCAGCCCTTCTGGTAAAGTGTAGAAAAGGGCATGTGCTTGGTTTAACGTGGTGGCCAGCAATTCCACTAATGAGCAAAACTGGGCCTTGATGCCAGAACCTGTGAGAAGAAATCACTCTCTTTAAACAATTTCTATTAGAAAAGGTAAAGACATAGCCCTTTGGATGCTCCAGTCTCTCTCTGCTTTCCCTGTTCAATTCTATACTTAAGGACCAAAATTTTGGAAAGAAGTCACACCCACCGTGATTCAGCTGGTTGAGAAGTGTCTGAATAGCTGCTTTTCTGGCCATCAAGAAATCTGTGAGGGCTTGGCGAGGGGAACTCTCTTCTAGGAGCATTATAGAGCAGAGGGCCCCTGCCACAGCTTGGTCAGACACAGCATGGCATTTGAGCAGCATCTTGCTTTCACGCAGAATTGCTGACCTTGAAAGAAGATGACAAACATCAGCAGGAAATTTTTAACATCTTGGGTGAAGAGCCCTGGTATACTGGGAAAGAAGACAGATTCCATAAAACTGCAGTGATGAAGGCCTGGCAATCACTGGAGACCTTCCTGTTGCATCTACTCACCGGAAGTGGCTGGCTGCTGCCACCTGCCGGATGAGTATAGGAAATCAGGAGAGGACTGGACTGTACTGTGAACTGGATGCATCCAGCTGGAGCAGGCTGTGGAGGTGGCAGCAGAGCAGGTAGAGCTGTGTGGCCTGGAGACACTGAGAGGCTTCCATGGAGCTCCAGATCTTCTCAGGAATTTCCAATAGCAGCTTGATCTTGGCAGCCATGCTGCAAAACTTCTCCTAGGACGCTGGCAGCTGCTGTTGGGAAGGGCATAACAAAGTCAGAAAAATAAAAGCCAGATCAGTGTTCTGCAGGCTAAATGACAAGTCAGAGGTATTTCAGTATTTTAAGGTTTCACTATTCTGGACTCAGTGCCACTTGGCTGGGTGTCAAGGTCTAATGTAAAGTAAACACCTTCATCATCTCACCCTCTGGTTACCAGTGATGCTCTTTTAGTGCTATTTGTTTTGTTTTGTTTTTTTTGGTATTACTGAGTTGACCCCAGTTGACTCAGCTACATCTCCAACTCCTTTTTTATTCTGAGAGTGTCTTGTCACTCTAATTATGCTTGATCTTGCTATCTTCCTACTTCAGTTTCCCAGAAGGATAATATTAGAGATGTGCACACCATGCCTGCCTATCCTCCTTAACCTGTGATCCTCTTGGATGTCTTGATTGACAGCAGCAACCCCTGCAGGCGACTCCTCCTTCCAGAACTGTCTATTTTCCTCATGTTCAGCCTTACTATTTTTTCCCTGTTGTTTAAAGGGCACCAAGGGCTTCCTTGTTAACTGCTCTTCACCAACTATGCAAATCTTTTCTCTGGAGGATTGTGGCTTTTCCCCATCTTAATCTACCCTCTCAAGCATCCCCTCTCACAGGAGTACTGCCTTATAAAAGAGCTGGAGGGAACTAGCTTAGGATCTTTAATGGTTTCCCTTTCCACCATTCTTAGTGCAATAGGAAGACCCTTATCACATAACATGCCACTGCCTTTATCAGGACATCTAAAATGCCGACTATGACAAAATGAATTTTTGTTCTTTATGAATAATCCAATCTGACATATTTTGTTATAGCAACATAAATCAACTAAGAGCTACATTCCAAATCTCATGTTTTTAAGGCCCTTCCTTCTTGAGGATCCAATCTGAAAGTGATTTCCTTTACCACTCTTATGGCAAATTATTTTGGGAATTCATCTGTTATGCTAAAATATTCCCTACTGCTGTTCTAAACCACTTCTATTTCTTATGAACTTGTCTTGAACTTATAACCTAGAATATCTCAGTAGGATGGATCAGAGCAGGAATTAGGAGACTGCTGCTTATTTGTGAACTGAACAGAGAAGACACTCAAATTTGGAGCGAGGGAGGGGACAGAAAAGTAGATATAGTAACTATGAAAATGAATACACTTCTAAAGTCAGGTCTCTCTTTCTCCTACTTAATTTTCTCCCTTTAAGCTCAATCAGTGCCATTATCTTAAAATCTTTTCTAATGACTTACATCTTATAAAAGTACTGTGTTTTCTGTTTGTGTCTTCTTCACATCCCAGTGAAGGAAGCATCCACTAGACCCCCTCCTAGCACCACTGCACCCACCGCAAGTTCTCCGGTTTGGTCATTAGTAACTTCTCAGTGTTTGCACCTTTTCTGGAGAGCTGGGTTCAGCTGACCTGCCTCTGTTCACACTGTTTTCTCCTAATATCTGTAATGTGCTCTTTTAGCTTTCTTCTTCCCTTCCCAGATGCTTCTTAATATTTTTCCCAATTTTTCCTTCTCTCCTTTACTTTTCTCCATGTTGGATAGTCCCAGGCTTCTGCTTCAGCAGTGGTCACTTCTCAATGGTCCCCCTACATAGGTGTCTTCATCCTTGCCTTAGCATATAGACACTCACTACAGTGGGTCAAGGAGAAGCTTTGCTGGCTGTGGAAATAGGAAGAAGGAACAGGCATTTGCAGATGACTACTGTTTGCTGTTCCAGCCCTGCATGCCTGCTTTGAATGTCTAGCTGTCTCCTTTAATCTTTACTTCACTTCATCAGAGATGTAATAGATTCAAAATAAGAAATGTCCCTCACTATCAGTCCATACCTCAAGTCATCCTGTCCCAGGAAATGGCACCACCCTGTTGTTTCTGGCTAAAGCTCAGAGGAAATCCTTTATCTGTTTCCTCTCACTTTCCATGCCCAATCCATTCACCAGAGTTGTGAGCTCTTCCTTTAAATCAGAGGTCCATGAACTCTTGTTACAAAGAGCCAGATGGTACATGAGTTTTGCAACCCCCAGCATCTCTGTGGCAACTATTTCAGTAAAGCCACTGTAGCTCAGAATAGCAGTAGACAAAAGGGACATGTAGGGGCATGCTGTGTCCAGTAAGTATGTACAGAAATGAGCCGAGGGCCAATGTTGGCCCATGGAACATACTTTGCTGACACCAGCTTGCTTTTCATTTTTATTATCTGCATCCTGACCCAAGCCACCTTCTTTTCATCTGCACTACTCTAGTTGCCTTTTTCCCCCTCTTGTGGTAATGGGGATTGAACCCAATACCTTCTCATTGACCTACACACCCAATCCTTTTCTTCTTTTTTATTTTTGAGAGTGGGTTTCCCTAAGTTGCATAGGTTGGACTTTAACTTTCAGTCCTTGTGCCTCTGCCTCCCAAAGCGATGGGATTACAAGCCTAGTCACCTTCTAATTCCCCCAGTGTCTACTTTTGTCTCTGATTCTCACCATGAAGCCAGATGAATCTTCTAAAAGAAGAAACTATGTCTTGTGGATCCTCTCCAGTGGCTGTTCCCTCTTGAGCAGCAGCAAGCTTCTCTCCATGCTGGTTAAGGCCCCATGTGCTGGTTAAGTCCCCATGTGCTGGTTAAGTCCCATGTGACTGACCTCTTCTGCCTCTCTTTTCTTCTCCCTCACCAGCTCTAGCCTCCCTATCTCTCCAGGCGCCGTTCAACTTCACAGAACAAAACTTGACTCACTTCTTCCCAAGGCCTTGGCTCTTGAAGCATCTTCTGCCTGATCTGCATATGGCCATTCTCCAGAAAGGCTACCTGGCTCGACCCAGGTTAAGACAATCAAACTTGACATTTATCAAATGCTCACTGTCGTCAGCTATCACTATAACCTCTGCATGTGAAAGACCCCTCCCAATTCTCTCACACACAAAACCTTCATCCCTACACTTTGATCATATCTCTAGTTTAATGAGGAGGAAATCAGGGCCAAGGATGGTTTTGTAGTTTTCCCCAAATCACTGAGTAAGTAGCAGAGCTGAGCTGTAAGCCAGCTGTCTGGCTCTCGAACCCATACCCTGAGCCACTGGTCTTTAATATCTGTGTCTTTTCATCATTGCATTCATCATCCTATTGAAACTACAAGTTCGTTTATTTGTGTGGCTTTTTTTAAACCGAGTATCTTTCCTACACCAAAGAGCAGAGACCTGATTTGTCCTTTCTCTCACTGAATTCCCAGCTTCTAGAGCAGTCTCTGACCCGTAGTAGACACTCGATCTTTACTGCGTGATGAATAATTTGACTTTGTAACAATTTACTGATATGTTAGTGAATCTGCAAATAATCATACTATAGAGTGCCTTATTGATTTCCAAATGAGAAAGAAAATCCTGAGATTAATTTATTCTAATTTCAAAAATGTCAAATTCATTCATATCCCAACATTGTCTCCATGCCCTTTCTCTATTATGTGACTTCTTCAGACTTTTGAATGTGTGAACCTTCCAATCCCTTATCTGGATGCTTCTGAGCTACGTGTGAGTTTGTCCACAGATGTTATACTCCAAGAAAACAATACTGGGGGTCAACATAAATTCAAGAGGGAAATGGTCCCTGACCCCATCGTTTTAATGTCTTTATTATGAGGGGGGAGGTTTGTAAGAGACACAGTTTTGTTTGGGTGAGACTGCCCTACTTTTACCCAGAGAAAGGCATAGGCTTCATGTAGCCATGGTGCTACTGAAGGTGCTCAGATTTGATGATGGGATGCTTTCCTCTTGGATCCAGTGTGATGGCCATAAAAATAGAAGGAAGCAGTTTTCAAGTCCTCATTTCCTTGGAGTGAACATTTATCAGGACTATGCCCCATCCTGGGAATCACATAATGCAACACTGAAAATACCAGACTACAACATGCTCAGGACAATACAAAGTTCAAAGACCCAGACCCACCAATCAGAGCTGGAGGACACTGCTAAGCTGCAGAATGGGTGCTGTCTGCAGGGGGCACTACCCAATCTTCTATCCAAACCTAATTTGATTAAAGAGATTAGCTTTGTTGAAGCTCAATCAGGTAAGTCAGAAACATCAAACCTCCTTGCAAAACACTGGGTTATAAAAGAATCTGAATTCTTGGACAAGAGAAAATTTGCAGTCTGGGTCTTTTAGAATTAGAATTTTGGGGGAAATGTGACTGTTTGACTAAATTGTATGGAACAGCCCACACCTGGCTGTCTTGAATGTTGTCTGGGGCTGGAAAGCTCACCCACAGTACCTTTTAAAAACCTTCTGATTTAGAGCTGACATTGCAAAGCCCTGTCACCCCTCACTTGTACCTGAATGGTGGTTCCTCAGTGCACCTTATTTGGTTCTGAGAGGCATAATGAGTACCAAACACAGTGAGTGCCATACAAATTCTTCTGGATGGAGAGGGTAGCAAGTCTTGAGGTGACTGACATGGACAAATTCCAGTTTGCATGTTGAATGCCTAAACTAGATGAATACTGGGACAAATTTGTGCATTGCAAACATTTTGAGTACCAAATTTGATGAATTTCAAAGCAGTCAAGTACCAAGGACTGACTTTATCTTGGATCAGTGTGAGAATGCAAGGGGATCTGAGATGGGGACATCATCGATGGGTGCTGTGTCCTCTTCACGTGCCTCTTCCCCTGCTCCATCCAGTGGGTAGCCTTTCTCTGGTCCTTCCTGGAGGCTGTCTTGCTCTCTAGCGTTAGTTGAGTGTGATTCTGGCACTGACTGGATTACTTTAGCTTCTCTATTGGCCTCTTCTGATCTCATTCTCTTCTCTCCCCTTACCTCATCTTCAGGCTGCTTATGTTTTCTTTATGGATGTGGCATCATCTGTTTCTTCGATACTTGTAATTTACACACACCTATAGACCTAGAATGGATGTTGCCATCTTCTCTCTCCAGTTAGCACCAGGTCCCAGTCCAACCACTGGAGGAAGAATAGAAAGAGC